TGCCTCACCCCTCCCCACCCCCTCACCCCTCCCCCCCCAGCCCCACCCCTCACCCCTGCCCCACCCCCCTCACCCTCCCCCCCTCACCCCCCCCTGCCCTCACCACCCCCACCCCCACCCCCTCCCCTCCTCACCCCCCTACCCCCACCTCTCCCCTCACCTCCCCCTCACCCTCCCTCCCCCCCCCCACCCTCCCCACCCCCACCCTCACCCCTCCCCACCTCACCCTCATCCTCCTCACCCCTACCCCTCTCCTTCAACCTCACCTCACCCCCTTCCCCCCCTTCAATCAACACAACGTCTCTCACACTGTAATATCTGTCTGTTTGTGCGTCTCTCTTCTTATTTACTCCTTCTATATATATATATTTATCTATATTTTTCCCTCTCTTTCTTTCTCTCCTCCTCCCTTTCTCACTCACTCCCCATTCACACACACACTCTCTCTCTCGCCATAAAAATATTCAAAATCTTATATATTATCCAATATTTCAGTGTGTGTGTGTGTGTGTGTGTGTGTGTGTGTGTGTGTGTGTGTGTGTGTGTGTGTGTGTGTGTGTGTGTATGTGTGTGTATGTGTGTGTGGGGTAATAATGGATGTATGTATTTATAATCCTGAGTTGATGTTTGGGGGAGAGAGAGAAGAGAGAGAGAGAGAGAGAGATCACAGGTAACAGGTAAGATAGCATAAATTAGGTTGACACGGAGGAATTCTTGTCATTTACTGTTATATTGTCGCAGTAAACACACACACACACACACACACACACACACACACACACACACACACACACACCTGTTTTATTAAAGTTGACGTGTAAGTATGATTGAACGGGGTGAGAAAAACGTAAGAATACTCTACCCAGATATCCATTCAATACATCTTGTTTATAGTTTTGCCAGATAAAAGAAATTTTATTTTGATTTGACTTGAATAAAAAACAGATAAAAGAAATAATGAAAGAAAGAGAGAGAAAGAGAGAATGATTCCGTTTGCGTATTTTTTTTTTGATGAGTCGTGAAAATGGATGATGGTTGAGAAATTCCAAATATTTGAAAGCAGATTTTAATGAGGGATGAGAAATGATGGCGGTGTGTGTGTGTGTGTGTGTGGATGGGAAAATCTCTGTCATGATTGTTAACAGAAAATTGAGGACAGACAGACAGACAGACAGACAGACAGACAAGACGATTAAATGCTTTTATTAAGTATTGCAATCTATGACGTACGAATTATTAGACAGTAATCGAATCTAAATTATATATTCAGGATATCAAGAAGAGCTGAAATGAACTAAATTGATCCACACACAGAATTAAACTCCCCAGGTTCCTCCCCATCTCTCTCCTTCCTCTCCCCAATCACCAAAACTCCTAGGTCCCTCTCTCTCTCTCTCTCTCTCTCTCTCTCCAGCTCCATAACCACTAGAAACACCCCCCACCCCCCACACACCCCACACCCCGCCACACCCCCCACACCCCGCACACCCCCACACCCCAACCCCCCACACCCCGCCACACACCCCACACCCCGCCACACCCCCCACCCACCCTCCACCTCAGCTCCCTGCGACTCCACACTTTCAATAGCCAGAATCTCATTACCGACCTTCAGAGACATTAAAAGCAATCATTGAGAGAGGATACCTGGGCCACACCTCCCCATCCACCCACTCCCACCCACCCCCACTCCCACCCACCCACCCCACCCCACCCACCCACCCCCCACCCCCCAGCGTTTATACCCTCACCTGTCGTCCACACCTCTCATTCATTCCTGCCACACCCACCACCTCTCACCACACCACTCATTTACACCTGAAAACACCCTCACTCATTCATTCCTCTCACCCACAGTTCTCAACACACCAACCAGCGTCTACACTCACCTGTCGCGCCTCACCTCTTAATCACTCCATCTCTCACTCGTTTCTCTAGCTCACACCTCCTCCACTCATTCACACCTCTCGCTCACACCTCTCATTCACTCGTTTCTCTCACCACACTTCAACAGTTCGTCATTCTCACCTTGTTGACCTCCCACCCCACCCCACCCCACCCCACCCCACCCCAGCCACCTGAAAACAGTCTTAAAGAACTCATTTTATCTCAATGTTGTCAAAAGGTTTTCTTACTTCCAAGTCAGTAAAAGTTGTATATAAATTCCGGTATTTCACTAACATTTATATATTTTTTTAACATTTATTGCTTTTTTTTAACATTTCTCAAACACCTGAAGAGCTTTAATTAACATTGTCAAGTGTTTTAACGTACAAATACTAAACAAAAAATGTTGAAATTGTTTTAAAACGTTTTCTTTAGTCCTCGTGACAACAAGTCCCCTGTGTGTGTGTGTGTGTGTGTGTGTGCCTGTGTGTCTATATGATTGTGTTTATGAATATGCGTATACGCGTATTGGTACCTATCTGTGTACGTGTGTGTATGTGTTTGTATGTGTTTATCTGTATGTGTGTGTCTGTGTGTGTACGTGTGGCAAACTGACATGATTTACGAGTCAGTAAGTCGTTTTCTATAAGTAAGAGTGACGTCAACAATTACAGGCGTTCGCGTAAGCTCTCCGGATGCAATAAAGAACGAGAAATCCAATCTGAATCCATTGAGTGGATTTTATGAGAGTCGCAGGTGATTACAGGGTACTCGTCACCTCTCATCAACGCCAGCTGCAGGGGGGAAAGGTCTGGCTACCGCTTACCAACTCTCTCTCTCTCTCTCATCTTTATCTATCCTTCTCACTACTTTCTTCTCTTCTTCCACTCACCATCACTTTCATCAATCCTACCATTTTCCTGTACTTTATCCCCTATTTCCCGTAACCGCTATTTACACCCCACCCCCTCCCTACCACCTCTTGTTTCCCTAACCGGTCGCTTTACGGGGAAATAACCGGATTTTCTGACCGGATTCGCCTACAGCGGACGTGACCGGGAAGGATTGAGGTAATCCCAGCCTGTGTAGAGGACCATTAGTTGTGTGTGTGTGTGTGTGTGTGTGTGTGTGTGTGTGTGTGTGTGTGTGTGTGTGTGTGTGTGTGTGTGTGTGTGTGTGTGTGTGTGTGTGTGTGTGCATAGGAGAAAATGCCAGAAGAAAGGTCTCCCGCCTCCCTCTCTCAATAAATCTTTCAGTAACATAGATAAATGTTTATAACCCGAACCTTGTCGAGGAAATGTTCATGTGAATAACGAAAGACCAGACCTTTTCCCTTATACACCACACCACACCATACCACACTACACTATACTACACTACACTACACTACACTACACTACCACTCCAATCACCACTACATTAATGACCCCTAAGACAGAGAGAGAGAGAGAGAGAGAGACCCTAAATTGTTATCATCATCATCGTCGTCAAAAAATAGGAAAAATAAAATTCCCCCACCACACAAAAGTTCCCCGGTATGGCAGACTTAATTACAAAATACAAGATTCCCTCACAGCCACACTTTTACCCCTAAGTCGTTGTCCTGTTATTTTCTTCATTATTATTCCTATTTCTTCTTTATTATTGGGATTTTTTTTTTCGTTTTTTTTTCTTTTCTGTTTTCGCTTTTATTGCCTTTGCGTTTTTGTTTTTCGTTTTTTTTATATTTTTTCTTTGTGATTTTTTTTGGGGGCTTTTATTAATTACTTTTGTTTGTTATTATTTCTTATTTTTATTCATTTTCCTTTTATTCATTATTTACATCTTTTGTTCGTCTTTTTTTTCTATTTTCCATCTATTCCTCAGTCTATTTTTTTATTTTGGTATTTTTGCTATTTTTTGGGTATTTTTAATTTTGTCCTTTTTTTTTTAATTTTACCTCATTATCCTTCCTAACAACCTTTCCTGACTTGACTGATGTATATATTGTTTATCATACAAGAGGGAGTTTTTTTTTCCTCAATATCTATTTCTTCGTTTTATTTTCCTCTTTCCTTTACTCCTCCTCCTCCTACATCCTATCATCCTACCTCTCTCTTCTTCCTCTTCGTTATATCTCTTTCTTCCTTATTTACGCAAAGTTTTAGTTTATAATTTCTATAATGGCGTATACTAACCTTTACGCCCTTAATGACCTTCGTTGTAGGAGCGTAGTAATAACATAACAACAACAACAACAACAACAATAACAACAATAACAGCAAGTTCCTCCCTCCCTCTTGCGCCTTCTCTCCCTACTTCCCTTTCACTTTCTTACTCCTTCTCTGTCTCTTTCTTTCTCTTCCTCCCTGCCCTTCTTCTACTCCCCCTCTCCTTCTCTCTTCTTCCTATTTCATCTCCTTTTCCCTCCTCCTCTTTTTTCCTCCTTCCATCTCTCCTCGCCTCCTCTCCTTCCTTCTCTCCCTCCCCTCCTTCCTTCCCTCCCTCATCTCCTCTCCCTCTTTCCTTCCCTCCCTCACCTCCACTCCCCTCCTTCCTTCCCTCCCTCCTAAGACACACAGACAGTCGAGTAATTAAAAGAACGATGGCAAAGACTGGACCATCTCAACCAGGGACGGCCTAATTACAAAACAGCCGTAATGACAGTAGTAATGACATTGATATTGACAGTGGTGGTGACAGTGGTGGTGACAGTGATATTGACAGTGGTGTTGACAGTGGTAATGAGATTGATGACAGTGGTAATGTCAGTGGTCAAAATCGTAGCGATGAAAATGCTAATTCTATTGACGACGAAAAATAACAATGATAATGACAGTGGTTATGGCAGTGATAATGACGATGATAATGACGATGATAATGACGATGATAATGATAATGACGATGATAATGACGATGATAATGACGATGATAATGACGATGATAATGACGATGATAATGACGATGATAATGACGATGATAATGACGGTGGAGCCTAAGTCACCAGGTCATCATATCACCAACACTTAAGTCCCTCTGCACTCTCCCCCTTCGTTAGTGACAGCTGCCCTGGACCTGATCCTTAAATGCCTGGGGTGGGCTGGGTGGGTTCAGTGAGTCCTGGGGTGGGCTAGATGGGTTCAGTGGGTTCTGGGGTGGGTCTGGTGGCTCCTCGGGTGGGCTGGGTGGGTTCAGTGGGTCTTGGGATGGGTATGGTCGCTCCTGGGGTGGGCTTGGTGGGTTCTGGGGTGGGCTTGGTGCGTTCTGGGGTGGGCTTGGTGGGTTCTGGGCTGACTTACACGGCTACCGAATATTGCACGACGCTCTGGATGAAAGAAAGTGACCTCGATACAACACATTATTATAAATATTCATGATGAGAGATTTTGGCAACACTGACGGTAAAAGATTGGTAACACTGACGGGGACAGATTGGTATCACTGACGGGGAAAAAGAACAAAGTTATCCCTTCCATTTTCTTTACTTTCCCTTCTCTCGTTTTCTTTCATCTATCAATTCTTTCTTTCTTTCTTCATTACGTTATTATTTTCCTCTCCCTTTCCCCACTACTTTACTTAATATCCTTCAATCTATTTCTTGACCGAGCTATTATGTCTTCCTCCTTCCTCGTCTTCCTTTTGCCATCTCCTTTCCATCTTCCCTTTCTCCTCTTCCTTCCCCTTCCTTCGTCTTCGCCTTCTCCTCTTCCTTCCCCTATCACTCTTCCCTTTCCTCCCTTCCTTCCTCTCGTCTTCCCTTTCCTCCCTTCCTTCCTTCCTCTTCTTCCCTTCCTTCCTCTTGTCCTTCTTCCCTTTCTCCTCTCCCCCACTACCCTCTATCCTACCTGGACCAGACAGTTAATCGCCGCGATATCCTCCGTCCATCCACCCAGGCCGTGACACACACATTTACACACACACACACACACACACACACACACACACACACACACACACACACACACACACACACACACACACACACACCTGTAATTTTCCCCCTGAGATCAGCCACCTCCATTATTCCTCTCTCTCTTTCTTCTCTTTCTTTCTTTTTCTCTCTCTCTATCTCTCCCTGTTTCTATCTTATGTTCTTCTCCTCCCCCTTACTTCCTTCATAATATATACTCTCTCTCTCTCTCTCTCTCTTCTTCCTTTACTTCCTCGTATCTTTATTATCCCCTTTTATCATCCACTTTGCTTCCTACTTCCCTTACTACCCCTACAACCCCTCATATCCCCCTCACCCCCCTCACCTCCCTCCTTACTCACCTGCATCTACCACCTCTCCTCAAATTACCCCTTGATTAAGCTTTCTCTCCCCCTCTCTCTTTTATCCATCTTCTACCTATTACCCTTGGTTACGAACCCCCTCATCCCCTCCTCACCTCCCCCACCCCTCCTCACCCCCACCCCCTCATCCCTCCTCACCCCACCCTCCTCACACCCCTGCACCCCCACTTTCCTCTCCTCTCTCAACCTTGTGTCTCCTACCTACGTCATGACCTCAGCTTATGTAGGAACTCAGAAAGCCATCCATCCATCCATCCATCCATCCATCCATCCATCCATCCACAAAATTATTCCTCTATCTCTCTCTCTTTCTCTTCCTATTTTTGTTTCTTCTCTTCTAATTATTTCCTGCGACCGAGTATTTGTTGTTGTTTTTTTTGTTTGTTCAGAAAATAAATGTAAATATTTTGTTGATATTTTTTTGTGTCTTGTTACAAAAGGGAATGAAATGATACCTCGTTAGTGTGTTTTCTTTCTTTCTTTCTTTCTTTCTTTCTTTCTTTCTTTCTTTCTTTCATTTTCTTTTTCGCCTCTATCCATCCTTCTTTCATATGGATTCGGTTTCTTTTATTTTCTTCTTCTTCTCCATTCCATCCTCTCCGTCAATCTCTTTCATTTTGTTTCTTTCATTTCTCTCTCTCTTTCCCTCTCTCTCTATCTCTCTGTGTCCCTCTTCCATATTCTTTCTTTTCCCTTTTCGTTTCCTTCCTTCTCTCTCTCTTTCATTTTTCTCTTCTCGTTGTCTTTCTTCTTTGTATTATTTTCTCATTTTCTTTACCTGTCTGTCTCTCTCTTTGTCTGTCTGTCTGTTTCTCTGTCTCTTTCTCTATATGTTCGTCGCTTCTTCTGCCTGTTTGCCCGTCTCTCTGTTTGCCTGTCTCTATATCCGTCTGTGTTTCGTCTGTCTGTCAGATTTTATATTCGTTTTTCTGTCTAACTCTCTCTCACTCACTCTGTCTCCTTGTCTCTGCCGGTCTGTCTGTTTCTGTCTGTCTGTCTGTCTGTCTGTCTGTCTGTCTGTCTGTCTGTCTCCCCCACACGTCACATAAAAAATAAATATTCCTCACTTCCCAACGTCCCAGGCTGGTTGACTCTCAAACTAACATCATCAATAAAACATTACTTTTTTTTAGCCCTGTTTATTCATCTTTTTTATATATATTTTTTTTTCCAGGTCAGTTCAGCACCCCTGAGACCTGACTGGCTTCTTTGTCTAAGTAAACTAACTTATTGAAACTGACTCACTGAACCTCTGATGATGTTGAACTGACTTAGTAAATTGACTTAATGTGTTGTTATTTATTTTTTCCATCCATCCATCTTTCTTCATTGTTCTCCCTGTCTGTCTCTCACTATCTCTCTATCTCTCGTCTTCCTTCTTACCCTATCATCTCCTTTACTCACTTCTCCCTCCTTCTTTCCCCCTCTCTCTCTCTCACTCTCTTCTCCTTCTGTTACCTCCTTCCTAACATAGACACTCTCTTCTTTCTTTCTTTCGTAATATAGATAGCAACATTTTTTTTCTTTTCCTCCTTCGGGTTAACATTCTTCTTCTTCTCTTTTATCTCAACATGGAAGGAGAAAATATATGCGTGATGTATAAATAGATAGAACGAGAGAGAGAGAGAGAGAGAGAGAGAGAGAGAGAGAGAGAGAGAGAGAGAGAGAGAGAGAGAGAGAGAGAGAGAGAGAGAGAGAGTACTTACGGTGTTGGTCTCCATCATATGAAATTGGCTTTAAATCTTTTGTGGTCGCGTAGATTTACTGTAATAGGTCCTGTCCACTTTCCCCCCACCTCTTAACCTTCAAGGGTCTCTCTCTCTCTCTCTCTCTCTCTCTCTCTCTCTCTCTCTCTCTCTCTCTCTCTCTCTCTTCCATCATCAGTGAGTCACCAGGGACACTCTACGTCCGGTGTCTCACTTCACTATTGATCTCTCCTTCACTATCAAGCTGCTGTCCGATATCTGTGGTGTGTTTCCAGGTGTGAGGGGAGAGAGAGAGAGAGAGAGAGAGAGAGAGAGAGAGAGAGAGAGAGAGAGAGATACAACTACAGACCGAAATAAACACATACAATCCATTTACAAACAATAAACAAACCATTAAAATCCTCTCGCCTAAACACAAACACCAAACAATAAAAAAAAGAAAGAAAAAACTAACAATAAAACACCAATGAAATACAAAAAAAACCACACACAAATTCTTGCCAAACATAAAAAAAACATCACGAAACTTTTACTATTATAATAACACACACACACACACACGCACAAACACACACACACACACACACACACACACACACACACACACACACACACAGGTTTTTATGTCAATACCATCAGGTTTTGGCGGGTTTTGAAGCTACAACATTTGGCGGTAAAAGTTTATCAATGAACAATTTAATGTCGGTTTTATGACACTTTTACATGCTAATTCCTGGCGACGTCGACCATGAAGCGTTCCTTTAAAACCTAATTACAATACAGCAGGCGAGGAGAATTGGCCCGAGTCTGGTAGTGTGGGGGTGTGTGGGGGTGTGGGCGACATGGTGTGTGTGTGTGGGGTGGGCGACATGGTGTGTGGGGTGTGGGGGTGTGGGCGACATGGTGTGTGTGTGGGGGTGTGGGCGACATGGTGTGTGTGGGGGTGTGGGCGACATGGTGTGTGTGTGTGGGAGTGGATGAGGAAGGTAGTGGGTGTAGAGGTGTTTGTGTAAGTGCATACATATATGTGTGTGTATGAGTGTATACATATATGTGTATATTACAAACCCCAGTGTACACCAACATACTGAAAGATCTTGTATAGAAGTTAATAAGCGGTGATGAGAGCTGAGATTGTCCCTTTCAGTGTGAGTAGTCAGACTCCATTGATACTAAGAGTCTTCAATGCAGGTGTAATAACTCGGTGTGAGAAGTTTGGACGGTGTTTAGCTGTGAGGCAAGACCAGCATTTTTATACGGTGTGTGTGTGTGTGTGTGTGTGTGTGTGTGTGTGTGTGTGTGTGTGTATTCGTTAGTTAGGACGTTTACTCTTCATCATCAACGACACCACCATTCGTCCTTTGAGCTGAGGTAGTTCGCCAGTACTTCGTAATGATCCAACTTGTTAAAATCTCCCACAAAACTTTTAATTGTGTGTTATATATCTCAGGTAAATTGACTCTATAAACCAGGGAGGAATAATGATCTACGGGGAAAGGAGATTATTATTATTATTATTATTATTATTATTATTATTATTGTTATTATTATTATTATTATTATTATTATTATTATTATTATTATTATTATTATTATTATTATTATTATTATTATTATTATTATTATTATTATTATTATTATTATTATTATTGTTATTGTTATTGTTATTGTTGTTGTTATTGTTATTGTTATTGTTACTGTTATTATTGTTATTATTATTGTCATTATTACCACTACTACTACTACTACTATTACCACCACCACCACCACCACCACCACCACCACCACCACCACCACCATCATAAAATATTACTTTCGTTTCTAATAATAAATACTGACGATATTCCCAGAAAGTCTCAACCTCGTTCCTGATATCCGGTAAACTTCAAGATTTTTGACGAGTAGAAGGGAGGGTGAGGGGGTGAGGGTGAGGGGTGAGGGTGAGAGGTGAGGAGAGGAACACCTGTCTTGGCTCACCTGAAAATTTGATCCCCCGGTCGATGTCAGAAAAGGAACGACATCTTTTTAATTTTTCTGTCTTTCTTTCTTTTTTTCTTTTTCTAACTCTCCACTTCTATCTTATAGTCTCTTATTTGTTTTATACTTTCCATAGTTCTTTCGGTCTCTGTGTCTTATAGTCTTTGTCATCTCTCTCTCTCTCTCTCTCTCTCTCTCTCTCGTCTAAGACACAGTTCCAATAATAATAAACATTTAACGAAGACATGAGAAGATTCCCGTGTCAGGTGGAGGCACTTATTAAACACACACACACACACACACACACACCCACACACACACACACACACACAGGTAAATAATATCAGTACTCTGTATGTATAAAAAAATCGGCCCAGTTAATTAACGGACACATTACAGGTATTATTAAAAAGCCTTAAGTATTGTAACAACTAAAACTAAATTACAGTTTGGTTAATGATTATGGATAAAGCTTTTGTAGTGTTAATTGATTCGTCGAATATTTGCTAGGTTACTCTAGTGGGGGTGCCCTTAACCTGAGCGAAATACCATTGACCTGAGCTAGATACCATTAACCTGAACGAGATACCATTGACCTGAACGAGATACCATTGACCTGAACGAGATACCATTGACCTGAGTGAAAATACCATTAACCTATGTTCATCAATATTAATTAAATATTACTTGAATCTCTCTCTCTCTCTCTCTCTCTCTCTCTCTCTCTCTCTCTCTCTCTCTCTGTCTCTCTCTCTCTCTCCTTACTCTACATCACTCAACCTCAAGGGAATAAAAGGCATCAAGTCTCACAAAAAAAACTATAGTAAATTCATTTCTACTCATGTTGACCAAATTTTTATAGACAACTTAATATTTACACAACATATACAGGGAAATATTTTAATTCCATTTTTATGTTACTGTTTATTATACGGACAATAATCATTTAGGGTTCTGGAATAAATACCAAAAAAATCTATATATGTCTCTCTGCTGTTGTGTTCCGCTTAGAGTAAAATAAAAGAGTTGTTGAACACGACCTATGTTATGATGAGGACTTGTACTGCTACCCACACTGTAATGTTTGTGACGAGTTGGATGATGTTTTATGGCGAGCTGTATTAGAGGTGACGTAGGGATGGCTCTCTCTGTCTCTCTCTCTCTCTCTCTCTCTCTCTCTCGGGGTGAATTAGTATCAATGCGATCTTGTGTACAAACGATATATGTACAGTCCCCCTTCATTTATGCGTTTACAGGGGCTCGTCCGACAGATTTTGTCCAGTGTGGCAGCCCTGTGTTTGTTTACATTCGACAAAAGGAAACTTGCAATAGTAAACATACTGTGGAATCAAAATAAAACATTATTAAAATAAATATCTCAATGTAATGATTTGTGGAATGTTTATATGACGAGCCCCTGTAAACGCACTAGTGAAGGGGACTGTACCTGTATTGTATGTGTAAAGAAGATAGACAATGTGACTCAGGAGGTCTTACCAACACTTGTACGTCTTTAGTTTGTTCAACTCGTCATCGCCACAAAGTCAGTTCAGTTCTCCTTCTGATTTTATTGATTTCCTTTGTGTGGTCAGCCGCCACCCACCGCCACCCGCCGCCACCCGCGCTGTGTCACTTGTCACTACCATAACTCTTGTGGCTTCTCTTATAGACACTTTTTATTCGTGTGTGTGTGTGTGTGTGTGTGTGTGTGTCAGACTAATATTCTTCAAGAGTACAAGTGTACATTTGTCAAGTATTATTAGTCTAATGTACTTCCTGTAATTCTTGCGTTTCAGAGTCTTGGCCGTATCCCCCCCCGCCCCGAGTGACTGTTTCTTGTGTTGCAGGGTGTGGAGGGCCTGGAGGAGCTCACCATCAGGAGATGTAAGCTGGACAGTCTGGTGCCCGGGTCGCTGGACGGCCTGAGTCGTCTACAGAGGCTGGAAGTGACGACCCACAACGGGGAGTGGGCTGCGTTGGCGATGGAGGTGGTGGAGGGGTCGTTGCCGCTGCCCCTGGAGCGAGTCTCCCTCGCCCACAACAACATCTGGACACTGCCACCCAGGGCCTTGTGTGGTCCCGCCGCCCTCCACCACCTCAACCTCTCCCATAACCGCCTTCAGGACGTGCTGGAGCTGGGGTTCTCAGACCAGGTGATGCTGGACGCCCAGGCTCTCAACATGTCTAATACGAGTTTCAGTGATCAGTTTTCAGGGTTTCTTAATGTCAACGAGGAAGTGACTGGAGATGACGGGTGCGGCCACGCCCTCCAGGAACTGATCCTGGACCACAATGATCTTGTGCGGCTTCCTCCACGCAGTTTCCGCGCCCTGGGCGGGCTCAGGGAGCTTTATATTCGTAATAATGATGTCCGACTCATAGCCAGTGAAGCCTTTAGAGGAATGGCAGCCTTACAAGTGCTCTATTTATCTAATAATCATATTATCGCGCTACAGAACGGGACTTTCTTTGAGAACGTAGCCTTAGAGAGGATTTACCTCAACAATAACTCACTCAGTGCACTCAATTCGGGTGTGCTCCAGGGCCTGCAAGGGCTACAGGTGGTGGACCTCTCACATAATAAACTCAACTTGGACACCAGCCACGAGGACCTATTCAAGGGTCTGCGTCGGCTGGTCATCCTTGACCTGTCTCACAACGCTCTCTCCACCATCACCCAACTCCTCCTCCGTGATCTGACCTCCCTACAGCGTCTCGACCTCTCTCACAACAGCATCGAGAGCCTCGAGGATGATAGCTTTACCTCCCTCTCGAACCTCTACGCCCTCGACCTCTCCCACAACCTGATCCTCAGCCTGAAAGAAGGTGGTTTGAGAGGACTGGTGGGGATGAGTCTCCTCCACTTGACCAACAATTCTCTCATAGAAATCCACCCTCACGCCCTTCACCACAGCTCCAACCTGAAGGAGGTGTTCCTTGGAAACAACCACTTGCAGGCGATTCCCACCGCTTTAGAAAACCTTTCCTTCTTAAAGGCTTTAGATGTGAGTAGGAACGACATCGTTAGCATCCAGCCATTCCTTTTTGGCGGCTTGGGCAACCTGGAGACTCTTAATGTGAGCTACAATAAGATGAATGGCATCTCTCAGGGATCATTTGCTGGACTTGTTTCTCTGGAGACTTTAGACATGAGGGATAATCAGTTAAGGGCAGTGAGTGAAGGATCCTTCGACGGGGTCCCCAGTGTGCGCCACCTCACGCTGGCCAGGAACGAGTTGACCGACATCAATGGTGTGTTCGCCGGCCTGGAGCACCTAGAGAGTCTAGACTTGTCTTACAACAACATCCGTATGTTTGACTACGCCTTCATCCCCAGGCAGCTTATTAAGCTGGATTTAAAGAATAACAAAATTGAACAGCTTGGTAACTTCTTCAAGGTTCAGAGCGTCTTGACGTTAGAAATTCTCGACGCCAGTTATAATGGCATCACGAGACTGACAGAAGTCTCACTCCCCAACACTATCAGGAAAGTTATTTTGCACAATAATAACATAAGTCGCGTTCTGCCAAACACATTCCGGGATAAATTAAATTTACAAGACATTGACTTCCGGTTGAACGCCATACAGAGACTTAACCCCAAGTCTATTAGTGTTCGAGGCACCATCGGTAACCACATCAACGCGCGGGTGTCCTTGGCTGGCAACCCGTTTGTGTGTGACTGTGAGATGGAATGGCTATACGGGTCGTCAGGGACTACCATTACTACCCCAGAAGCAACCGAGGTCATTTATCTTCAGCCTCGAGTCGAAGATCTTGCTCAGGTAACTTGTACTCTCACACATTCTCGAGGAGGAACGTCCATCTCGATTCGTATCTTGGACACGTCCCCGGAGAACTACCTCTGCCCTTATGCTACCCACTGCTTCGCCCTCTGCCACTGTTGTGACTTCATAGCCTGTGACTGTCAAATGAAGTGTCCTGACGCTTGTTCTTGCTTCCACGATGACACTTGGTCCATGAACCTGGTGGACTGTTCAGGGGGACAACTGGACCGCCTCCCAGACCGTGTACCGATGGATGCGACGGTGGTGCTCCTGGACGGCAACAACCTTCAGGTACTTCACGCCCACCACTTCATCGGTCGTCACAGCATCCAGCAACTCTTCCTCAATAGTTCCCAGATTCAGACACTTCAGAACCGTACCTTCCACGGCCTCACGTCCCTGCGCACACTACACCTGCAGGATAACATGATCGTACAGTTAAATGGTTTTGAGTTCTTTGGTCTTCATCGTCTCAAAGAACTTTACCTCCAAAATAACCGCCTCTCTTTTGTCAACAACGCCACCTTCCTGAGCCTGAAGAGCTTAGAGGTGTTGAGACTAGATAACAACTTTATCATAGACTTCCCTGTTTGGCTCCTGAGTAACAACCGCTATTTAACCAGCGTCTCTCTGGCCAACAACCCCTGGGACTGTGACTGTCAGTTTGTTGAGTCTCTGAGGGAGTGGGAGACCCTGCAGCCGTACCTCCTGCTGGACCCCGAGGAAGTCTTCTGCGTGCACAGTGAGTCGGGCGTGGTGGGTCCCAGTATAGTGTTGCCAGAGTTCTCCTGCACCAAGGGGCAAGAGAGAGTCACACAGTACCAGTTTGGTCAGAGGCAGTTACCCTTCCTGGCGGGGGGTCTGTGTGGGGGTGTGGCCCTCATCAGTGCGTTGGTGGTGGTGGCCATGCTGGTGGCCCGAAGGAGGGCTGCTGCCGCCAACAAGCTGGCCATGAGTAGCCCCCCGCTTTACTGCCAGGAGGAGGACGGGAAGGTTTTTGACGCTTACATCAGCTACAGTGCCAGTGATGCCAGCTACGTGCGTGACGTCATAGCGACTAAGCTGGAGAACAGCTGCCCCAGCTATAAACTCTGCCTTCACTCCAGGGACTTCAGCGAGAACAGTCGTCTCTCAGAGTTCATCACACAGTCGCTCAACTTCAGCAGAAGAACCATCGTCGTGCTCTCCAAGAACTACGTCGACAACGAGTGGAAAAATGCCATATTCAAGAAAGCTCACGTCGATGGGTTGAAGGAGAATGACATGAACATTATTGCCATATATTATGACAATGTTTCCTATTCCTCTTTTGATGCCGAGTTAAAGGCAGTGATAAGAAAATGTTCAAAGCTGCGGTGGGGCGACAAGAACTTCTGGAAGAAGTTAGCGGAAATGATGCCTCAGAGGCAGACCTACACTGGCCTGCCAGTGTACGTGTCCGACAACTCGTACAAGTCCTCGACGCTGCCGTCCCTGGTGCCCCCGTCGTCTCTACCACTCCCATCCTCCTCCTCCGTCCTCACATCCACCACTGGCCTCACCACGCCCTCGGAGATCGACCGTAGGGCTTCATACTTGCCGGAGGCCCCGGCGACGTATAAGGCGCCGCCACCACCTCGGCCGTGTTACTCCCCTCCTTCGTGTGATTACATCGTGATGCAGGGACGAGATTGTCAAGACCCACAGTGCACCTGCCGCCATCACTCACACGCCGCCTACACTTACGTCGACGGCGATAACTCGTCGCTTCATACATACACTTCCCTCGAGCCTTTCACCGGCTCCAGCCCTCACCACCCCCCCACCTACTTTTCCCGACCTCACTCTCCCAAGAGTAACAATTACAGCGTCATTGACGCCCCCATCAGGAGGACTGTCAAGGCCAGCAAACGGAAGAAGAAGCGACCAATGAGCCAGACATGTCCACCTACCACTAGTGAGGAGGTGGTGGACGAGCACGGTGACCCTCAGGACCCCGCCAGTACCCAGCCTTCCATCGGCACCTTCCGCCGCACCAAGAGTCTCCGGGTGACACACGGCGCCGCCGCCGGGGAGAGGCAGAGCGACTACTCCACTGATCACTCCAGTGACCGCTCCAGTGGCAGGTCCTATGACCACTCAGTCACCTCTGCTGGTGGAGGCGCAGGTGGAGGGCTGGAACCCACAAACAACACCCTGTACATGGGTCTGACAGACTCCCCGCCAGACCCCGGCCTCAACACCGAGGAGTGTTTCGTCTAGTCCATATGTGGAGTACAGTATATTGTTTGTTGCTGTGAAGTGAAGGCAGTGATAGATGTTCCCGGATAATGTATTGGTAGGATGTGATAGATCGTGGTAGTGTTGTAACCCATGTTTACTACCTGCGTCAGGAGGTCACCTGGACGTACGTGGCTCCTGTGTCGTGCAGGAGCCTCCCCTGGCGAGAGCCTCAACACCTTACAGGGAGTGAGACGTTAGAGGCTCGTCTCGCAGACATTATCACAGAGTACTAACCGTCCCGTTCATTGTAAGTCACCAGTGATTGCATAACATTGTATTTCATAATCTCAGATTTTTGTTTTATATATCTTGGGAGATGTGTTTCAGTATTACACGAGGAAGTGAGTGTCTCAGAAGCTGTCATAACTTTGTTGAAATACACACCCGGCGCGGGGTCTGCCACCGCCGCCGCCACACTCACTCACCAGCTGCCACCGGCGGCTAAACTAACTGCAACATTGTCCCAAGTTGCTCACTAACAACACGTATTCACTAGACATGTTGAAGCTACAGACGACACCAACAGGAAGAAAAAACCCGCAGCTCGTAGTTCAGTGTCACGGTACAGGGAGACGATGCCTATGTCAACACCCTCCCTTCCTCCCTCTCTCCCTGTCGTCCTTCTTCTCTTAGTGTGACTGTCTCTAGTCGTCTCAGTCAGTCAGTTCAGACAGTCACCTCAGCCGATCATCTCAGCTAGTCAACCTAACCATCACCTGTACCCACCTGTATTTTGATTACTAAATTGAACCCATTTGTATTCACCTGTATTATACTGTAATATACCTGGCCCTTCTGTAAGCCTGTGACCTGTACGTATCTTTATCAAACTATACCTCTCTCTCTCTCTCTCTCTCTCTCTCTCTCTCTCTCTCTCTCTCTCTCTCTCTCTCACGCTTTTTCCCCACTAGTTATTTATACAGGGAGGGTGTGAGGTGGTGGTGTATGAGGGAGAGAGTTATACATTCTTCACACTCTCCCTCTCTCTCCCTCACCTCCAACTGAATAATTTTACACTTGTTGATTCTTCAGACCAGGCACAAGGTCCATACGTCTGTCTGTCTGTCTGTCTGTGAATTTTTTTTTCTGTTTTTCCTTAGGGTAGAAATGTTATGTAATTTTGACCATTCCTGTATTTTGAGTACAAGATGTTATGTAGTTTTTGGCTTTTTTATGAGTACAGATGTTATGTAATTTTGTATTTTTGCTGTAATTATCCCGATAGATCTGTTATTAAATTATGCCTCTTCTCCTTTCCTCTTCTCTTCCTTTGCCTCTTCTCCTTTTTTATCTTTCTTCTTTCGACTTGGTGAGTGTATGTATGTATGTCCGGCACAACACGCACACGAGGTTAAAATATAAAGACAGACATAAACACGTGTACTGTGCGTATTAACATGTGGGATACTGACACACACACACACACACACACACACACACACACACACACACACAGATCACTGCCAATTAAGTTTTAAAAATCACTTTTAGTTTTGCCGGCAATTATATCCTTATTTAATGCAACATACATACATACATATATCCATACATACATACATACATACATACATACATACATACATACATACATACATAAAACAAAACAACACACACAACAAAACACACCCAAACAGAACACAACACACCCAAACACAACACAACACAACACAACACAACACAATACAACAACTAAAACAATATCTCGTCTCTAAGGTTTAATGAAATGGCACTCGGGATATACAGGCACTTCAGATTTGCCGGCACTTTCATCAGTCCCAGCTCCTGTGATGAGTCTATCCTAGCGTCAGGAGGCGGGGGAGTAGGGCCTCTAACACCTCCCTGCAGAAGGACGTCTTAGGAGCCGCCAGGATGACTTGGCTGGGTCTTTCATTCACACGGTTCCTTTTGCCCCCCGGTGTTGAGTCCGACTGTTTGAGGGTCATCTTGCCTCTCTCTCTCGCTCTCTCTGTCTCTCTCTCTCTCTCTCTCTCTCTCTCTCTCTCTCTCTCTCTCTCTCTCTCTCTCTCTCTCTCTCTCTCTCTCTCTCTCTCTGTCTTTGTTACTAACCCAAACATTTTCTTATTTATCAACATCCTCTTCCTCCTCCTCCTCCTCCCTCTCCTCCTCCTCCTCCTCCTCTTATTCCTCCTTCTAAAAATATCAATAAATAAAAAAATCCAAATGCAGATTCTCGCTTATGGTTAAAAATATTCAACTGATTCCTTTAGTATTCCTCCTCCTGCTTCTCCTCCTTCTTCCCCCTCCCCTCCTTCACTTCCTTCCTATTCTCTACTCCTTCTCCTCCTCCCCCCTCCCCTTCCTTTTTCTTTCCCTCTCCTCTCCTTTTCCTTTTTTTTTCTCCTCCTCCTCCTCCCTCTAACCCCTCGACCTCTCCTCCATCTAACCCCCCACCTCTCCTCCATCTAACCCCCACCTCTCCTCCATCTAACCCCCCACCTCTCCTCCCTCTACCCCCACTCCTCCATCAACCCCCCACCTCTCCTCCCTCTACCCCCACTCCTCCATCTAACCCCACCTCTCCTCCCTCTACCCCCCCACTCCTTCCCCCTCCCTAAAAAGATCACTGCAGAAGGTAGACACTGAACTTCCTGCCGCCGCCGTCGCTGAAGAAGGGGTAGAAAATTAATCTAGTCACGTCTCTGCGTGTAATACTGAACTAAATGTTTAAAATTATGTACTTGTGTATTTTTCTATACAAAATAAAGGAAAAATCACTAATTGTGTTTTTTTAAGTTCCTTGGAAAGATTCTAATTCATTGTTGTTGTTGCTGTTGTTGTTGTTTTGTTGTTGTATTAAAGTAGACGAAATTTTCTGACTTAGAATAACAAAAAAAAAAGGTTGTTTGTTTGTTTTGTTCCATTTAATTTGTGTTTCATTCACTCTTTGTAATTTAATCTCATAAAACAACACTACAGCTACAGACACAAGTACTACAGTTAACGGAGATTACAGAAGAAGACTACAGGAAGAAGCTCTATAATGGCCTGTTGGCTACAGTTAGTGTTATCTTAAGGAAGCCAAATAAAGATACAGGATTCTATTTTAGGTTTAGTTTACTTCTGTGTGTGTGTGTGTGTGTGTGTGTGTGTGTGTGTGTGTGTGCGATGACAACAAACTCTTAGCTAGTAGTTTGGATTCCATTGACTTCATAATTAATAGGAATTAATCATATCCAGCTATTTCAACTCCTTAATACAAATATACACACAAAGAATACTGTATACGTATAGAAAAAATAAATAAAATACATGAAAAAATACCAAATAACAAATAAATCAACAAATATATAGAACAAAAAACAAAATCCTTCTATTTAAATTCCATTAAATAAACAAAAATCTGAAAAAAAGTCTAAAAAAAATAGATAAATAAAAGAAATAGATGAAAAAAAGTTGGACCATATAGACAGGGTGTACTATTGACCTCCTAGATGACGTCACAGTAGGTATCATAGTGTCAGCCACAGAGAGCGACCATCATCATCACCAGAGAGCCTCAAGTCTTGATTGGACGGACTACTGTACCTCTGAGTCTGTTACTAATGAACTCCGGGAGATTTCTTGGACGCACTCAAAAGTTCGTGGAGGCATTCAAGAGTTAGTAGATGCACTCAAGAATTCGTGGATGCACTCAAGAATTCGGGGACGCACTCAAGAATTCGTGGATGCACTCGATATTAAGGTTTGTGGTTGTACTAAAATTCCTTAGATACACTCAAGGTAAGAGTTTATTTACGCACTCCAAATATAGTTTCGTGGACGCACTCTAAAGGATGACGTCATATCATAAGCCCTTAACCTTCTTATTTAAGGATGAGACATGAGCCATAAGGTCAAACACACTCACCTAACACACTCACCTAACACACTCACCTAACACACTCACCTAACACACTCACCTAACACACTCACCTAAGACATTATATTAACAGGCTTCATATATCACTAAGGCCCTAAGTCATATGTCTGAACTTCAATTATCACAACACCTGTAAAGCCAGATGTGTGTGCGTGTGTGTGTGCGTGTGCGTGTGTGTGTGTCATGAATCCTAATTTGAGATGACTTGGACTTCAGAAAAGTTCCAGTGAATCAGGTATTGGAGAATTCATTAGAGCTCATATAAATCCAGGTGTATTGTATATATTATATTCTAAGTAAATCATTCGAATTATTTTTATAGTAATATGACACGTAAAATACATTTATTTAATTGATTTATTCTAATTAGCTAGTTTCTGCATAACATCCATTAGACTAGTTACTGTGGTTCGGGTAATGAACACCAGAGGACCCTAAACTCCCACCATCCACCTGTCGGGTTGGGAGAAGCCATGTGAGTCAGTGTTACTCATGACACCGACTGCAGTGTCTTGGAGTTGCTTCCCCAGTTCTCGTGGTGTTGTCTGGGTAATTATTTTCTTTACTTACCTGTATTCACCTCAACAGATATTCTTGTTATTATTGTTTGGTATAATATTTAGGATATTTAATAGGAAAGTAAATTAAGTTTTTCTTGTGTATATATTGGTTTGATTTAATTGTATTAACTAGATTTATTACAGATCAGTGTTCAGTGTTCTCCCAACCCCTGACGTAGATCTGTAAGGGGTCTGACTTAGGAGTTATCATTTATGCATTTAGTTCACAGCCATGGGAGATTTTGTTCTTATTGAACTTGTTGTGGATCCATAGTAGAACAGTTAAAGAACAGTTTAGTTAAGTGTGTGTATATGTGTGTGTCTGTATCTTAGGCAGAAATATTACTTACACTACAACAGAAACTTAAATATTCCTATGAACCCGGACTTATGACTCCCGTTATATCTAGGTTAACTTAAAGAAAGCATAACACTAATATCTTGTTAAATTCACCAGTAAGCTTCTCTGTTAACAGGAGGTAATACTAACTTACAGAAAATGTTAAAATCACAAACTGAGTTAAGTACTTGACTCACACACGTTAAATAACACCTGTAAACTGAACGTAAATTATCCCTCATATGAAAATGTACAACTATTTTTTATCAACATGTTTAATTGCTAAATATCCAGTATTTAACTTTACACCTAAATTATGTAAGCGTTAATGTGTTTAAAATATCAACTATTCCTATTTAGACACGTCAATTATAATCACAAACTTATAGGAAAAAAATTCCAGTATTATAGTGTTGTCTACGTAAATTCTAAATGACTTACGTGAACCAGAATTAAACTGAATTCAAGTACGAAATATTTATAACAACCACAATATTATGAGTTGTTATTATAACCGTTGTTATTACAACTTTTCCCTGAGTGTGTTATAAGCTTGAGTGTGTGTTATAAGCTTGAGTGTGTTATAAGCTTGAGTGTGTTATAAGCTTGAGTGTGTTATAAGCTTGAGTGTGTGTTATGAGCTTGAGTGTGTGTTATAAGCTTGAGTGTGTTATAAGCCTCAGTGATACTCTCAACTCTGCCCTATGTAAAGTCTGTGAACCAGTGATGATATTAAATGGTGTTACTAATAATATACATACATGGTGTCAGCTCTTTATATATTCAGAGGTCACGTTACGGGGTCAAAGGGGACATGATATTGATTTAGGCTGTGTTGTGTTGTAAGCCTCAGTGAGTATTTCCTCAATCCCTACCTATGTAAAGTTCAGAACCAGTGATGATATTAAATGGTGTTACTAATAATATACATACATGGTGTCAGCTTCTTTATATGTTCAGAGGTCACGTTACGGGGTCAAGGACATGATATTGATTTAGGCTGTGTTGTGTTGTGTTGTGTTGTGTTGTGTTGTGTTGTGTTGTGTTGTAATTGTTGTTGTGTTGTGTTGTGTTGTGTTGTGTTGTGTTGTGTTGTGTTGTAATTGTTGTTGTGTTGTGTTGTGTTGTGTTGTGTTGTGTTGTGGGGTTGTGTTGTGTTGTGTTGTAATTGTTGTTGTGTTGTGTTGTGTTGTGCTTGTGTTGTGTTGTGTTGTGTTGTGTTGTGTTGTAATTGTTGTTGTGTTGTGTTGTATGTGTTGTGTTGTGTTTTGTGTTGCAACATGTGTTGTGTTGTGTTGTGTTGTTCAGTGGGTTGTGTTGTGCTGTGGATGTTCGTGTTGTGTTGTGTGTGTGTGTGTGTGTGTGTGTGTCGTGTGGTGGGGGGGCAGGTAGGTGACTGCTGTGACAGACAGACACAGACAGACAGACAGACAGACAGACAGACCCCTAAGTAGAGAGGCGTGTGGTGGCGGGTGGACAGGGGCGTGGCGGGTCCTTATCAACATGACCTCGAGAGTTGACTGGTTCTGACGGGGAGCACCCATGTCCACGTCAGAGTATGGGGAGGAGAGGGGCAGGAGGGGGGAGGAAGGGGAAGGGGAGGAGGTAAAGGAAGGATGGGAGAGGAGGAGGCAGAGGCAGGAGGGGAGGGAAGGGAGGCAGGAAGGAGGGGCAAGAGGGGAGGAAGAAGGGAAGTAGGGGAAAGGAGGGGAGAGAGGTAGGAGGTGAGGTAGAGGAAGGAAGGGAGGAGGGAGAGGAGGGGAGGAAGGGGAGGAGGAAGAGGAAGGAGGGGGGATGAAGTGAGGGAGAGAGGGTGAGGCCAGTGGTTTAATTCATCCTCTCTCTTGTGTTTATGTAGTTCCTATATATTAATTTACATTACATCATGCGAGACTGCAAGGGCGTGGCAGGCCATTACAGGATTGCAGGATACAGCTGATGGGCGTGGCAGGTTATTACAGGATTTCAGGATACAGCAGTCACATATACAAGGGCGTGGTAGGCTATTACAGGCTACAGCAGTCACATATACAAGGGCGTGGTAGGCTATTACAGGCTACAGCAGTCACAGGTACAAGGGCGTGGCAGGCTATTACAGGCTACAGCAGTCACATATACAAGGGCGTGGTAGGCTATTACAGGCTACAGCAGTCACAGGTACAAGGGCGTGGCAGGCTATTACAGTCTATCTAAAAACAAAAGAAAACAAAACAAAAATAGACTGTGGAAGAAAAATATGAGTAAAGAAAAGCCTCACTGATCTTGCCAGCTGCCCATCGTGTATTATAAAACAGGTGAGTGAGTTTAGTTAAAGGTCACTGTTTTTCTTTACAGACTTTACCGATGGTTTAACTCCTTGTAAATGGTGGTTTAACCCTTTTGAGGACGATGGTTTAACCTCTTTCAAGATGATGGTTTAACCCTTTTAAGGACGGTGGTTTAAACTCTATCAAGAC